AGCTGAAACTTGCCATGCTAAAATCTCAGGCGATTAGCTTTCGAATGGTGTATGTCTTGTCAATTCACTCTGTCATCACTAATTCACTTTTTTTTAAACCGGTGTCTAGTATAATATCAGAGTTTTTCGCCCAGTGTCGGCGCAATTTGATTGCAAAAGAGCTGAAACTTGCCATGCTAAAATCTCAGGCGATTAGCTTTCGAATGGTGTATGTCTTGTCAATTCACTCTGTCATCACTAATTCACTTTTTTTAAACCGGTGTCTAGTATAATATCAGAGTTTTTCGCCCAGTGTCGGCGCAATTTGATTGCAAAAGAGCTGAAACTTGCCATGCTAAAATCTCAGGCGATTAGCTTTCGAATGGTGTATGTCTTGTCAATTCACTCCGTCATCACTAATTCACTTTTTTCAAAACCGGTGTCTAGTATAATATCTGAGTGTTTCGCCCAGTGTGGGCGTAGTTTGATTCCAAAAATGCTGAAACTTGCCATGCTAAAATCTCAGGCAATTAGCTTTCGAATAGTGTATGTCTTGTCAATTCACTCTGTCATCACTAATTCACTTTTTTTAAACCGGTGTCTAGTATAATATCAGAGTTTTTCGCCCAGTGTCGGCGCAATTTGATTGCAAAAGAGCTGAAACTTGCCATGCTAAAATCTCAGGCGATTAGCTTTCGAATGGTGTATGTCTTGTCAATTCACTCCGTCATCACTAATTCACTTTTTTCAAAACCGGTGTCTAGTATAATATCTGAGTGTTTCGCCCAGTGTCGGCGCAGTTTGATTCCAAAAAAGCTGAAACTTGCCATGCTAAAATCTCAGGCGATTACCTTTCGAATGGTGTATGTCTTGTCAATTCACTCCTTCATCACTAATTCACTTTTTTTAAAACCGGTGTCTAGTATAATATCAGAGTTTTTGGCCTGGGGCGGGCGCAATTTGATTCCAAAAAAGCTGAAACTTGCCATGCTAGAATCTCAGGCGATTAGCTTTCGAATGGTGTATGTCTTGTCAATTCACTCCGTCATCACTAATTCACCTTTTTTCAAAACCGGTGTCTAGTATAATATCAGAGTTTTTCGCCCAGTGTCGGCGCAGTTTGATTCCAAAAAAGCTGAAACTTGCCATGCTAAAATCTCAGGTGATTACCCTTCGAATGTTGTATGTCTTGTCAATTCACTCCTTCATCACTAATTCACTTTTTTTTAAAACCGGTGTCTAGTATAATATCAGAGTTTTTCGCCCAGTGTCGGCGCAATTTGATTGCAAAAGAGCTGAACCTTGCCATGCTAAAATCTCAGGCGATTAGCTTTCGAATGGTGTATGTCTTGTCAATTCACTCTGTCATCACTAATTCACTTTTTTTTAAACCGGTGTCTAGTATAATATCAGAGTTTTTCGCCCAGTGTCGGCGCAATTTGGTTGCAAAAGAGCTGAAACTTGCCATGCTAAAATCTCAGGCGATTAGCTTTCGAATGGTGTATGTCTTGTCAATTCACTCTGTCATCACTAATTCACTTTTTTTTAAACCGGTGTCTAGTATAATATCAGAGTGTTTCGCCCAGTGTGGGCGTAGTTTGATTCCAAAAAAGCTGAAACTTGCCATGCTAAAATCTCAGGCGATTAGCTTTCGAATGGTGTATGTCTTGTCAATTCACTCTGTCATCACTAATTCACTTTTTTTAAACCGGTGTCTAGTATAATATCAGAGTTTTTCGCCCAGTGTCGGCGCAATTTGGTTGCAAAAGAGCTGAAACTTGCCATGCTAAAATCTCAGGCGATTAGCTTTCGAATGGTGTATGTCTTGTCAATTCACTCTGTCATCACTAATTCACTTTTTTTTTAAACCGGTGTCTAGTATAATATCAGAGTGTTTCGCCCAGTGTGGGCGTAGTTTGATTCCAAAAAAGCTGAAACTTGCCATGCTAAAATCTCAGGCGATTAGCTTTCGAATGGTGTATTTCTTGTCAATTCACTCCTTCATCACTAATTCACTTTTTTTCAAAACCGGTGTCTAGTATAATATCAGAGTTTTTCGCCCAGTGTCGGCGCAGTTTGATTCCAAAAAAGCTGAAACTTGCCATGCTAAAATCTCAGGCGATTACCTTTCGAATGGTGTATGTCTTGTCAATTCACTCCTTCATCACTAATTCACTTTTTTTCAAAACCGGTGTCTAGTATAATATCAGAGTTTTTCGCCCAGTGTCGGCGCAGTTTGATTCCAAAAAAGCTGAAACTTGCCATGCTAAAATCTCAGGCGATTACCTTTCGAATGGTGTATGTCTTGTCAATTCACTCCTTCATCACTAATTCACTTTTTTTAAAACCGGTGTCTAGTATAATATCAGAGTTTTTGGCCTGGGGCGGGCGCAATTTGATTCCAAAAAAGCTGAAACTTGCCACGCTAAAATCTCAGGCGATTAGCTTTCGAATGGTGTATGTCTTGTCAATTCACTCCGTCATCACTAATTCACCTTTTTTCAAAACCGGTGTCTAGTACAGGGTGTCCAGAGAAATGTGCCGGAAAGTTTTTGTCGATTTCTTGGCGCTCAATAAAGATATCCGAAAAATTCTTTTTGCAGGATAAAGAAGAATTTGGGCGGTTTTTTGTCCGAAAGAATCATTTTTTCCGCCAGCGCGGAAGGCAGTGTATTCGGCGGAGACTTTTGATCGCTTTTTTGGCCATCACACCAATTTTAAACGCATTATTATGATGCTGAAACTTCCGGAAAGTCTTCAAATTTTTGACGCAATAAATCACACAGACAGCGACATCGCAATGCGATCCCATGTAGCGACTGCACGGTGCAGCCTGTCGCTGCAACACCGATAAAGTCCGAGTGCACCGTGCGGAGGTTTGAAACAGCAAGGCAAAAGGAAATTTGAACAAAAAATTTTTTGTTGTTTTCTGGTGCACCAAGTGGTTTTCCGATGGCTTAGCTTCTGCCAAAGCTTGGTGACAAAATTTTCGAAGGCATACGAAGCCAGCAGGGTGTTCAAGCCAGGCCATAAAAATTGTGTTGGACCATGTCTTGTCCGCAGCTGAGTTATGGCCTCCGCCGATTCGGCGAGCGTCCGCCATACCTTCGCCGAACACTTGGTAAACATGAAAATATGCAAATATCTTTGTTTCAACCATCAAAGTTCATAATAAAGCGTTTAAAGTTGGTGTGATGATCAAAAAAGCTATCAAAAGTCTCCGCCGAATACACTGCCTTCCGCGCTGGCGGAGAAAATGATCCTTTTGCACAAAAAACCGCCCATATTCTTCTTTATCCTGCAAAAAGAATCTTTCGGATATCTTGATTGAGCGCCAAGAAATCGACAAAAACTTTCCGGCACATTTCTCTGGACGCCCTGTATAATATCAGAGTGTTTCGCCCAGTGTGGGCGTAGTTTGATTCCAAAAAAGCTGAAACTTGCCATGCTAAAATCTCAGGCGATTAGCTTTCGAATGGTGTATGTCTTGTCAATTCACTCTGTCATCACTAATTCACTTTTTTTTAAACCGGTGTCTAGTATAATATCAGAGTTTTTCACCCAGTGTCGGCGCAATTTGATTGCAAAAGAGCTGAAACTTGCCATGCTAAAATCTCAGGCGATTAGCTTTCGAATGGTGTATGTCTTGTCAATTCACTCCGTCATCACTAATTCACTTTTTTCAAAACCGGTGTCTAGTATAATATCTGAGTGTTTCGCCCAGTGTGGGCGTAGTTTGATTCCAAAAATGCTGAAACTTGCCATGCTAAAATCTCAGGCAATTAGCTTTCGAATAGTGTATGTCTTGTCAATTCACTCTGTCATCACTAATTCACTTTTTTTTAAACCGGTGTCTAGTATAATATCAGAGTTTTTCGCCCAGTG